TAATTGGATTTTTATTATTTATGAAAATAATTGAATGTTTGCATACAATTTCACTAAAATTTTTTTTTAAATAATTAAATTTTTTTGGGAAATTTTATTAAAATAGTAAATATTGGAAATCATTGAAATTAGAAAAATGCATTCTATTTTTGAAGATAATTGAAATTAGGACAAGAATTTTTTTGACATTTATGAAAATAATTGAACTTTGGAGAAGAATTTTGTTATTTTTAAAGATAATTATGATTTTTACGATAATTTTTTTCAAATTTTGAACATAGTTGAATTTTATAAGAAAAATTTTATTTTATTTTTTTGAAAATAATTGAATTACTGCAATTAATTTGTAATTTCTCCAAAATTGAATTTTTTTTTAGTGTTTTCAACAAAAATTTAAATTAGAAAATTTTTAAATTCTATTATTTTGAAAATTGCTAATTTTATTTTAAAAAAAGGTTTAGTTAAAAATTTTTTCTTGCTGTTGTTTATTGAAATAAATCAAAAATTGTTTAAAAATTATTATAAATTATTATTATTATTATTATTATTATTATTATTATTATTATTATTATTATTATTATTATTATTATTATTATTATTATTATTATTACCTAATGTTATTATTTATAAATTTATTTATAAATATTTTTTGTTTTAATATAAAAGCAAAAAAATGTTTAAATTGTTTAATATTTTATTTTTCTTGTTAAAATTAAAAGAAACAATTTTATTTGCTTTTGTTGCGCTTTTAACAAATATTCAAGGTATGACAAGTAGTTTTAAACTTCTTGTTGCACATCGTTCGCACAAACTAACATAATTTCTGAATATGGCATTGTTGTTAAAATTGTCACATTAAATGTGACGTCAAAAGCAACGAGGTTTACGATTGTAATAAAATACGCAAAAGGGACAATGTGGGAAACGTTGCGAATTCTTTTCTGTTTTTTTTATTTATATTTACTATCACATTTTCCTGGTTTATAAAAAAAGATTATGTGGAAAAAATTGCACTTCACTTTGCGAAAAGAGGGAAAAAATTTAGACAAAAAGTGTCTTGCGATGAATAGAAAATGTAGAAAAGAAGAATTTTGGAAAATTTCTTTTTATCTTAGTTTGATTTTGATTTTAATTTAGTTGAAATATTTTTCAATTTTATTTAGTTCTTAATTTATAGTTTTAATATTAACTTTTGAAAATTTTTTTGTAGCTTTGATTATAATTTATTTTAATTGTTTTTTTTATTTTAATTCGTAAAAAATATAATTTTTTTATAAATTTTTTTATTAATTTTGTATCACAATTCTTTTTTATTTACAAATTTTTCCATTTCTATTTTTTTACTAATTTTTTTTTTTATTAACTTTTAGTTTTTTACTAATTGTTTTTTATAAATTTTACTAATTTTTTTTACTGATTGTTAGTCCTAATAATTATTGCTACAATTATAATAAAAAAAATTTGCAACTCCTAAATTAATTAGTTAAATTCTAGTTAAAATTAATAAAAAATTTTCCAATTGATAGTAATTTTTTATTAAAATAAAAAAAAAATTTCACTAAAGTTAGTTAGGTGATTAACTAATTTTAGTGAAAACTAAGAATTAGTAAAAATGTTTACTAATTGTTAATAATTATTCAACTAAAATTTAAATAAAGAAAAACAACTACTAAATAAATTAGACAAAATCCACTAAAAATTCGTAAAAAATTGTTACTGAATTAAATTATTGAACCACTTTTCACTAGATTTAAATTTAGAGAGAAACATTTGCTACAAAGTTAATTTTATAATTAAATTTTAATTTCATTTTAATTTATTTTGATTTCAAACATAATTTAACAAAAAATAATATCAACAAATTGTAAATTCGCAAAAAAGATAATCAAATGCAACTCAAAAAACGAAAACGGAAGTCAAATTAAAGAATATGTAATTAGATTATAAATTATAAAATTTATAATTAAACGATAATTACAATTTGATATCAAGTTATGTATGTATTTTTTTCCTCTCTTTAAAAAAAAAAAAAAAAACACGAAGAGAAATTTATGACGAATTTAATTCAACTTTTGATTTACGAAAGTACTGGAAATAATTTTTTAATATAACATTGATTTAAATGTCTCGCAAATCATTTTTCTTTTTTCTCTTATCTCATATATATAGGATATAAATTTAAACTCACATTTATTATTTATTTATTATAACCCCCCTTCCCCCACTCTTCAATCGTTACCTTTTTTCTCTTATAATCGAATTTTTTTAACAACATATGATAAAAAATTAATTTCAAAAAAAGAGACAAAAAAAAATTAAATCGAAGCAATAAATAACTTTTTGAAGGTATATATATATATATGTGTATATGTGTATAAACACTTTAAATCCATCAGAAAATAAATAATGGATTATGGTAAAATTATTGAAGGATTTTATTGCTTTTAACTTTATCTCGAACTCTACTTAAAAGGAAACTTTATGGCTGTTTGTCGCAAAAATGGAGTTTGCACTCCCTGAGAAAGTAAATCGATAAGGTTTTTAGTGACACGTATATATGTATATATATATACAATATATATTTTTAATATTTTGTTTGTATATATATATTGGTGAATTATTATTCAATTGGATTCCTGGAAAGTATCAGATTATCGTAAAATTAAGTGATAGCTACTCAAATGTAATTGCGGTGCAATAAACTTTCTTTGCAAAAAAAAGAGAGAAAAAATAGATAAATATATGCCACTGTTTATAAAATTATCTAATATTTATTTAGGTTACGAGATTTCGTTGGAATTTTTAAAAAATTAATATTTTAGAAAATTTGTTTCCAAAAAACTTATTTTATTTCTTTTCTTTTCATTTCATTTTTTTTTTTATTTATTCATATTATATGATTTTTTTTTATTTATTTCTATTATATTAATTTTCTATATATTTATATTATTTTTGATTTATTTTTACGTTCAAAGACGAAAAGTATGAAAAGTGTATATAATTAATAATTTTTGTTCTCAATTAAAAGAAATTTTTAATTACTAAAAAATCAAAAGGAATCAAAAGAAAGGTAATTTAGTCATGTGGTTAGGTACACGATTTTGTAACTGGTGAGACCTGGGTTCGATTCTTCGCAACTTAAAATTTTTATTAATAAAAAATAATGATTTATTGATTAAAAAACAAAAACTAAAAATTATTATAAAATTAAATAGAAAATAATAACAAAAATTAAGTGAAGCACATATTTTCTAATTAATTTTCTAATTATTGTCTAATTTCTTTTTTCTAATTAAAAAAGTGTTATTGGGAGAATAATTTAAATTGGGGTTTTAGTGTATAATTATAATAAAATAAAAAAAGTAATTACATGCAAAAAAATACTTATAAATAATATTATAAAAATATACGTATATTATATATGAATAAAATATAAATAAAAAATAAATAATAATAGAAATAATAAAATAATAAAATATAATTAGAAATTAGAAAATAGAAAGGAAATTAATAATAGAAAGTAATTAATAATCAAATAATAAAATTTGATATTCATTTTTGTCTCTCTTTCTTTTTTTAAAATAATAATGTGAATGTAATGAAATGAAACGTGATTGAGGGAAGTTTCAATGGAAGAAGAATCAGAGAAGGTAGAATTACAGGTGCGTGAGAGTGTATTTTTTTTTGCAAGTATTTACCATACACTTTATATACATATGTATACATGAAATGTGTATTTATGCGTACGTAAAATAATACGCATACTATATTTATACTTCCATATATTCATATGTGATTTCCGTTATTCCGAGTAAATCCGGTCCAACTAAATATCAACGATGGATTATTCCTATTTTGGACTCGATATACGTATATGTCCATTCATTAAAGACTATATTTTCTTTCTTTCTTTCTCTCTCTCGTTTCAATCACTTTCTTGCAAACTTAATTTTTTTCCATTCATTCAAACTTCACTCAATTGACCATTCATTTTTTTTCTTTTTTTGCCACAATCTAATCAGTAATGGTATATAGTGATGTAAACTTTCATTGAAAAATAACTTTATTTTTCAGTATTGAGATATTTGTGTATGGGAAATATTTTCTAAAATTAGAATATTTTACTTAGATTGTGATTGAAATGTTTTTTTTTTTGTACTGGGGTTTTGAATTTTTTATTTTTGAATTTTTTTTTATTGATTTTCAAAAGAAAATTTGCATTTGTTTCTGCTTTAAATTACTGGCAATTATTCTTGTACTGATTTGAAATATAGTGAGTGATTTATTGCTTTTCAATTTTTTTTTCTTATCCTCCTAATAACTTCAATTCTAAATTTTTGCAAAATTCAATTATTATTTTCGAAATTTGAATATAAAATTCCTCAAAAGTACAATTATATTTAAAAATAATTTTTTAAATATGTATCTAAATAAATAATGTTCTTTAAATCATGAAATTTATTTCAATTAAATTTGACATTTCCAAATAATTAGAAAATAATCTTTTTAAATTATTTTACCTATTGTGAAAAAAATTTTAATTACAATTTTTCAAAAGATTGCAATTTTTCCATAATTTCCAGATTAAATTACATTCAAAACTTTAATAATAATTTTTATAAAATAACTATTTAGATACTTATTTATTTATTTACTTATTTGTTTTATTTATTTTTATTAAAATTAATTAAATTTTTGTTTCAAGTTTTTTATTGTAAGAAGAATTTTTTTTATTACTAAAAAATTTTTTCTTATTACAAAAAATCTTTTCTTATTACCAAACAAATATTTTTTTATTACAATAAATATTTTTGTTTATCAAACAAATAATTTTTTTTTATTTAAACATTTTTTATCAAAAAAATGTTTTTTAGTAAAAAAAAACACTATTTTTTACAAAAAAAAAAATTAATAAAAAATATTTTCTTTGCGATTTCTTGTTAATTATCTATATTTCAAAAAGAAAAAAAAATATAATTTATTTTTTTTTCGTCTTACAGGGAAACAAGCCGAGAAATGGTTGTCCAATTTGTGAGAAGAACTGCCCAAAAAGAGAGACGAACAAGAATGAGCATTTATGCTGGAACAAAGAACACTGCCAAAAAAGTAAGTTTCTTTTTAAATAAAAACTTTTAATATAATTTTATATTTAATTTTTTCATGTAAAACAAAATTTCAAATTTCCATTAAATTTTTTTTGCTCTTATTTTCTTTCAAAATTAAACAAAAATTAAGCTCTGCGTCTTTTTTTTTAAATTACTGCAAAAAAAAAATGAAAATCTTTTTTAACTATTGAATTACTTTAAGGGTATGTGGAATCAGCCAACTTCAATTAATACATGTATTAATATTCCCACCGGTTTTCTAAAAAAATATTTTATAAATCTTGACAAAATATAAAAAAAATAATATTTTATTTATTGAGGCATGGATCTCTAGTCCAATTAATACAAAAATTTGCTTTTAAATATTATTTTCCATTTAATAAAAAGTTTAATATTTTTTGAGAAAAAAGACAATCAAATACAAATTAATATTGAAAAAAATGAATAAATTTATATTTTTCTATTCAAACTTTCATTTTTTTGACAATTTTCGAGAAAAAAAGACAATCGAATACAAATTGCCATTGAAAAAAATGAATGTTAACATAGAAAAATATAAATTTATTCATTTTTTTCAATATTAATTTGTATTTGATTGTCTTTTTTTCTCAAAAAATATTAAACTTTTTATTAAATGGAAAATAATATTTAAAAGCAAATTTTTGTATTAATTGGACTAGAGATCCATGCCTCAATAAATAAAATATTATTTTTCTTATATTTTGTCAAGATTTATTAAATATTTTTTTAGAAAACCGGTGGGAATATTAATACATGTATTAATTGAAGTTGGCTGATTCCACATACCCTTAACTAATTTTCAAATTCTGATTATTGTAATAATTAGTACAAAAAAATGTCGTAGGTTTTTTTAATAATAATTATTAATATTATTATTAATAATAATAATTAATAAATTGTTTATTATCTTATTTGCTTTCTGTTGAAAACTATTAGGATTCTTTCTTTTTTAAAAAAAAATTTTGCTACGTATCAGAAAATATTTTTTATTTTTTTGTATTTTTTATTATTTTGTAATTAATTATTATTGTTATTTTGTATTTTTATTTATTATTTCTTTGTACACTTTTGATTTTATTTGTATTTTAATTTTTTAATATTCTATGTTTTCGTTCTATCTATACAGAATTTTTTTTTCTTTGTTTCTTAATTTCGAACTTATTTATTTATTATTCCTTTAAATTTATTTATTTTATTATTATTATTATTATTATTATTATTATTATTATTATTATTATTATTATTATTATTAATAATATTATTTTGAATTTATTTATTTATTTATTATATTGCTTTTATTTATTTATTATTTATTTATTTATTTATTTATTTATTTAACAATTTTTACGGGCTTACAAAAGAGAACGCCCTTTTATTAAAACTAACTTAAATCTAAATTGCATGAATTATCTAACTAATGATAATAATACATATAACTATATACATATAACTATATGTTGCATTCATTTATTTTTTTATTATTTTGCATTTATTTATTGTTTTGTATTTATTTATGATTATCACTTTTTATTTAGTTTATAATTTTTTACGTGTATAACGCGATTTTTTTTTTGTTCGCCTGCGTCGCATTTCTTCTTTGAAAATTTATTGGGAACAGAGAATGATATTTGGGAAGAAAGAGCGTACGGTGCTTGAATTAATGAACTACCACTAGATTTATTCTTGTCTTTTAATCTTTGTGCTTTATCGAGGGCGAATATACGTGTTGTTATCATTGACGACGAGAGTCCAAGAGAGAAAGAGAGAGGAATAAACTGAATAAACTCTCTATAACGTATTCAGTGATCGAAAAATGTTTGCACGAACCAGAATTCGATTACAATTCAAACAACGCTTTCAATTACAAGCAAAGGATATATCATTTACAAACTTCAATCGACAATATTTTTCCCACTTTAAATCCAATATTATAGATAACCATTTTTTCACTTTTTTTTTGGTTTCGTAAATTTCCATTTGTATTTTTTTATTTTATTTAAATAAATTTTATTTTTTTTAAATTTAATTTATTTATGAATTTACATTTTTATTTTTTTGTATTTTTATTTGTAATACGTGTATTTTTGTTGCATTTTATCTTTTTTTTGTATTTTATCTATTTTTTGCATTTTTTATACTTATGTGTATTTTTTTTCTATTTTTAATACTTTTGTATTTCATCTATTTTTTGTATTTTTTATTCTTTTGTGGATTTTTATTTATATTTTTAGTTTTTTTATACTTTTGTGCATTTTTATTTGTATTTTTTCTATTTTTGGTACTCTTGTGTATTTTAATTTGTATTTTTTGAATTTTCGTTTGTATTCTTATTTTGATTTTTTTTTAATTTCTTGGTTTTGTTTTATACGGAATTTATTTCTTTTTCTGCTTTTAATTTAATTTTTTATATTAATTACAATTTATTATTTTGATTTTTATATTTATTTCTTACAATTTATTATTTTGTTTTTTATATTTATTATCTACAATTTATAATTTTGTTTTTTATATTTATTACAATTTATTATTATGATTCTCATATTTATTGCAAAAATTTTTTTTTTTAAATTTTTGTATAATTTCAAAATTAAAATTTTTTATTCAAATTACCATTGACCCTTTTTTTTGACAATTTGGAAAATTAATTTTTCACTTTACTCGAATTTAATTGATTTGATAAAATTTCTTTTTGGTTTGTTTTATTATTTTTTTTAACTGACCTTCAGTGTCATAATAAAACGATAAGCCGGTTTATCAAAACAATGTAACTGATTCCGGATGTCATCGCCATTGCTTTGACTAAAACATAATTGAGTTGTTTTGTTACCAGTTATTTGCAGTGAATTTGTTTAAAAAAAAAAATAGAAAATTATTATTTTTGTTCCATTTTACAATTTATGCATTTTTTTGAAAAACAACAAAATTTATTGCAATTGAAAATGGAGAAAAAATTGTATCACTTTTTTTTTTGATTTGGAATTTTTGTATTTTTTTAAACAAAATTTATTTTCATAAAAAATAGAAAATAATTTCTTTTATTGCTTCTTTTTTATTTATTTTTTATTTTTATTAAAGAAATTTATTTCTGTAGAAAAATATATAATATTGTATCAATTTCGTTACATTTTACAATTTTTGTAATTTTTCTAAAAAAATTTGTAACTTTTTTTCTTCTTTAAAATTTCTTTTTTTTTTCTAAATAAAATTTATTGCGACAGAAAAAACACAATATTTATTTCAGTAAAAAAATAAATAATTATAAAAATTTCCCAATTGTAATTTTCAAAATATAGATAATATTTCTTTAATTATTAATTTTTTTAATAGTAAATACTAAATTTTTGTTGAATAAATATTCCACAGAATACAAAAATTAATTTTTTTCGTGAGAGAATTTTTTTTCCTAAATTTATTGCTTTTTTAATTTTCTTCTTTTTCAAGTTTATTTTAAATTCACCGGAAATCCTCATAAGAATACAAAATATCGTTTCATGGAAAGAATTTGAACTGGAAATTTGTCTTTGAATTAAAGAGAGAATTTAATTTATTTAAATTTCAACCGATATGGGATTACATTCTTTCTTTTTGTTTCTTTGAAAAATTTTAAATCCGTTGTTTATTTTGACTAAAAGAAATAAGAAACAGAAATTTATTGTAATTTAGAAAAAAGTAGTTTAAACTAAAAATATCATTGGAGAATTTTTGTAATTTAATACAACTTATTCTAATTTGAAAAAAAATTTTTTAATTATTTAAATTTCAAAATTAATTTTTTTCCAAGAGGAAAAAAATTATCAACTTATTTTGTATTTCTTTGTGTATATAAATCAATTATTTACCATTTGCTTTTTAATTTATATTATTAGTAAAATTTCTCAAAAAAAATTTAATTATTTAAAAAAAATATGTACATAATAAAATTCGTTGCAAGAATTCAATTATTTTTATAAATAATAAATCAATTATTCAGTAATTCATTTGTAAATGAATTTTTATTAGAAAACTTTAGAAGAATTAAATTGTTTAAATTAAAAAATAAATAATTTATTGAATAACTGAATGTTTGTTAAAATTGAATTCTCATAAAGAATTTTATCAACAAATTTTTAAATAATTGAATTCTTTTGACAAATTTTAATAAAATTTTTAAGAATAATTACATTTTTCGAGAAATTCGATTAAAATTGCACAAAAAATAATTAAAATCCTGCGATGAGTTTTATTATTTATGAAAATAATTAAAATTTTGCCAAGAATTTTATTAAAAATTTACTAAATTGATTGAATTTCGTAGAAGAATTTTATTATTTATAAAGATACTTGAAATTTTGACAAAAATTTTTTTTAATTTTTGAACATAATTGAATTTTTACGAAGAATTTCATTAATTTTGAAAATAATTTCATTCTTTAAAAAAATTTTATTCAAGTTTATAAAAATAACTGAATTTCTGTGAAGAATTTTATTATTTATAAAAATTTTGTAAATAATAATTTAATTCCTGTGAAATTTTGACAAGAATTTTATTACTCTTGAAAATAATTGAATTTTGGAGAAGAATTTTATTATTTATAAAGATAATTGAAATTTTGACGAGAATTTTTTTTTTTTTAATTTTTGAACATAATTGAAATTCTGCGAAGAATTTTTATAACTTTTGGAAATAATTGAATTTCTGGAATCATTTGTAACTTTTCCAAAATTCAATTTTTTTTAGTATTTTTAACCAAAAATTCTTCTCTCAGTCTAGTATTTATGAAAATTGTAAAAATTATTCATTAAATAATTTATAAGTTATCATTTTATGATAGTTCTTGGAAAATTAAATTATTAAAAAAGAAATTATTGTCAAAAATAGAAAAAATTGAAGGTTTTGTATTATTAAAATTCGTGGTAATTTCACAGTTTACGAGGCAAGCAAAAAAAAAACATAAAAATTCAGAGTTTTTTCGTGAATTTTAAGAATTCAATTTTTTACAGTATTTTTACTAAAAATCCCTGACTTTTCCCTGAATTCTCTGACTTGCCTGACCTTTGGCAACCCTGATATTTATTTATTTGTTAATTTATTTGTTTGCAAATTTATTTGTTAATTTTTTTGTTTATTAATTTATTTGTTTGTTAATTTATTTATTAATTTAGTTTATTAATTTGTCTGTTAATTTATTTATTAATTTATTTGTTTGTTAATTTATTTATTAATTTATTTGTTTATTAATTTGTCTGTTAATTTATTTGTTTGTTAATTTACTTGTATGTTAATTTATTCGTTTCTTTCTTTATTTGTTTCATTGTCTTTATTTAAAAATAAAAGAAAAAAATATTAATTTTGGAAATGATTAATTTTCATTCATCTCTCTCTCTCTCTTTTTTTTGTTCCAGCCTGTGACACATGCGAAGGAGGAACGTGCACGTCAAACGGCGAATGCTGTAATCGATCATGTCTCGGCGGTTGTTCTGGACCAACTGCCAGTAATTGTACAGTTTGCAGAAATGTCATGATTGGAAATACGTGTGTAGATCGTTGTCCTGAATCCACCTACGCATTCATGAATTACAAATGTATCACTGAAAATGAATGTCGAGCTATGAAGAAACCACGCGAGGCATTAAACATTCACAAGGACTATCCATATAAACCATTTCAAAATGTTTGCCGTATGGATTGTCCCGTTGGCTATATGGATGACGAATCATCAAATAATTTGACAACATGCAAAAAATGTAATGGTCCCTGTCAAAAGGAATGCGGTGGGGCAAATATTGACAGTATTGCATCAGCGCAAAGACTTCGCGGTTGTACACACATAACAGGAAGTTTGGAAATACAAATTCGTGGCGGTAAAAATATCGTCAAAGAAATGGAGGACAGTCTCAGTATGATCGAAGAAATTGACGGTTATTTAAAAGTCGTGCGAAGTTTCCCATTGATTTCCCTCAATTTTCTCAAGAATCTAAAAATAATTCGTGGCAATTACGTTGATAATAATGAGAAATCATTGATTGTTCTTGATAATCAAAATTTACAGGAACTATGGGATTGGAGTGCAAATAAGACAATTAAAATTCTCTATAAAAATAGTCGACCGGGAAAAGTGTTTTTTCACTTTAATCCAAAGCTGTGTTTGCAAAAAATTGAGAAACTGAGGGAAGTTGCGCAATTGGAGCCATTCACTGAGGTGGAGGTTGCGCCGAATAGTAATGGAGATAAAAATGCCTGCAATGTGACATTGCTTGAGGTGAAGATCGATAAGAAGGGATCAAATGCGGCGCTGATAATATGGGCGCCTTTTGAACATCATGATCCACGATCGCTATTGGGCTATGTGGTGTATTTTATTGAGGCACCATTTCAAAATGTCACCATGTACGATGGACGTGATGCTTGCGGTGGCGATGGATGGAAGGTCGACGACGTCTCACCAACTGAATCATATTCGCATGGCTTTAAAAATAATACGGAAGTTGTTGAATTTTTGACGCATATTCTCACTAAATTGAAACCGTACACGCAGTATGCGTTTTATATCAAGACTTATACGATTGCGACTGAACGTTCGGGTGCGCAGAGTGAAATTACGTATTTTACGACACTACCAGGCGCTCCTAGTGTACCGCAAAAATTATCGACGTACAGCAATGACAGCGATGTTTTGATTATGACTTGGCATCCACCAGCTGAGAGGAATGGAAATTTGACTCATTATCGTATTGTCGGTCGATATGAACCTGACGATTCGCTTTTTCTGGAACAACGGAATTATTGCGAAGAACGTAAGTTGTTAAAAATAAATTTAGAGTTAAAAATGTTAATTATGATTAATAATTATAATTAACTGACGCGTGAAACGCGGGATTCAATTTATTACTATTTTGCAAATAACTATTTTTTATTTTCAAAATTTGAAAATAAAAAAATGTCAAAAAAAATTTCACCTATAACTAATTATTATTATTATTATTAAAAGAAAGAAATTTATTATTATTAGGTATTATTTATTTTAAAAAATTTTATTAAAATTCTTCGAAACAATTGAATTATTTTTTTTTTAATTTTAATGAAATTCTTTGGAGGAATTCAATTATTTTTAAAACTTTAATCAAATTCCAGAAGCAATTCAATTATGTTCAAAAATTTTTTAATTTTTCGCTACAATACAATTATTTTTGAAATTAGGAAAATTCTTCTCAGACATTGAATTATTTTCTATATAATTTTACTCAAATTTCTGAAAAGGATTCAATTATTTAAAAAAATTCTAATAAAGAAGTCAATTATTTTCAAAAGTGGTAATAAAATGTTTTATAAGAATTCAATAATTTTCATAAATAATAATTTCCTTCGCATGAATTCAATTATTTTCAGTACAATTTTTTATAAAATTTCTGAAGGGAATTCAATTATTTTTAAAAATTGTAATAAAATTTCATTATTTTTGTAAATATTAAAATTCTTCTCAAAAATTCAATTATTTTCAAAAATTTTAATAAAATTCGTAGAAAGAATTAATTATTTTTAAAAAATTCAGTAAAATTTTTCACAGAAATTTAATTATTTTCAAACATAATAATACTTTTAGTAAGAAATTAATTATTTTCATAAATAATGAAATTCTTCGCAGAAATTCAATTATTTTGAAATATTTCAAGAAAATTCTTTCCAGGAATTCAATTATTTCACACAAAAAAATTTGTATAAAATTCAATAATTAAATTTTTAATTACAATTACGAACGAACAAAATTATTTTATAAACTTAAAAGAAATTCTTCGTTAAATTCAATTACATTTAAAATTTTCAATTAAATTTATTATTTTAATTTACTTTTTTCAATATTTTAATTAAATTTCTTGAATGAATTTAATTATTATTTTCAAAAATTGTAATAAAATATTTGCAAGAATTCAATAATTTTTTTAAATAATAAAATTATTCTCAAAAAATTCAATTATTTTCATAAATAATGATTTTCTTCGCACGAATTCAATTCTTTTTTGTACAAATTTTATGAAATTTTTGAAAGAAATTCAATAATTTTCAAAAATTGGAATAAAGTTCTGCGAATAATTTAAAATTTTCCAACAAAAAAAATTGGAATAAAATACATACAATACAATTTTTTAACAAAAATATTCGTAAAGTTGAATAAAATTTTTCGCAAAAATTCAACTTTTTTAAAGAAACAATAAAATTCTGATCAGAAATTTAATTATTTTTAAAAATTTTAATAAAATTTGTCGTACGAATTAATTATTATTTTTAAAAAATTCAATAAAATTCTACGCAGAAATATAATTATTTTCAAAAATAACAATATTTTTAGTAAGAAATTGATTTATTTCATAATTAATAGAATCTTTCGCAGAAATCCAATTATTTTGAAATATTTTTAAAAAATTCTACGTAGGAATTCAATTATTTCCAAAAAAGTTTGAATGAAATTCAATAATAAAATTAATTTAATTATTTTTATAAATAGTAAAATTTGTAGCAAGAATTAAATTATTTTTATAAATAATAAAATTCTTCCCAGGAATTCAATTATTTTCAAATACAATTTGAATAAAATTTCTCGACAGTGTTAAATTATTTTCATAAAAATTGTTATAATATTTTTCGAATGAATTCAATTTATTCTCAACAGTTTTGATTAACATTTTTTGTAAGAATTCAATTATTTTCAGTAGAATTTTTATAAAATTTCTCCAAAAGAATTTAATTATTTTCCAAAATTGTAATAAAATTCTGGAAAAATGTCAATTATTTAAAAAAAAATTTGTATTGAAAATAATTCAATAATATTCGATTAATTCAATTTTTCTCTAAGAAAAATGATTTTTTGCATTATTTTGAGAAATTGCTTCAAGAATTTAATTATTGGATTTAATAAAGAAATAATTTATTTTAATTCAATTGAAATTTTCATTATTCAAAAGTTTAATTTAATAATTATATACGAAAATTTTGTAAATAATAGAAAAATTTGAATAGAAATTTTTCAAAAAACTAAATTCACTTAAAATTTGTCTAAAATTCAATTGTTTTCAATTCAATTTAAATTTCGATTATTTGAAAGTTTCTTAATTAAATAATTTATATTTAAAAAATCTTACTAATTTCAAAGAATTGAAATTAGTAATTAATTAATTTTTTTTCAAATTTAATAATTTCAAAGAAATTGGAAATAAAATTTTTAATTAAAGTTAATCAAACTTAAATTTTCAAAAATTTTATTTTAAAACCTTTTGAAATTGAATTATTATTTCTAAAATAATAATATTTAATTCTAAAAATAATTCTTTTGTAATATTATTCAATTTGTTTTTTCGAGTTTTCTCAAATTTTTAACTACAATTTTTCTGTAAATTAAATATTTTAGTAATTTGCAGGAAATGATTCGAAAATTAAATGAAATTGAAGTATTTTCTTTTCTTTTTTCCGTTGTTTCCTTTCTTTTCTTTTTCCCTTTTTTTCGTAGTTTTTATATTCTAATTGACTGACGGAGAAAATAATTTGTTTTCCAGCACTATCGGCACCTGAGAAAAGACCAGCGAAGGCAGTATTGATAGATGAGGAGAATAAAAAAGTCGAGGCTGATAAACAAAGTGTCACTAAACCGGATGCCGATACCTGCGATTGTTCAAGTAGCGAAGTTGATTCTTCGACACGCGAAAAAGATGCCACCAGTTCCATTGCATTTGAAGATGCCCTTCATAATCAGGTTTATGTCAAGAGGCCAACATCACGTAGACGACGAGACGTCACCGGAACAATGACTGAAGAAATTTCATTCCAAAAACGCGACATTTCCAGCGAAACTAAGGTATTTTTTTTAGGAATTTATTTTTCCAATCATTCTCATTATTTCATTCTTTTATTTAATTTAAAATTCAACAAAATTCTCCAATAAATAATCTAATCGAGATTTTCGATTCTAATGATAATTATTTTTTATATTTATTTATTTATTAATATATTTACTATATGAATAATAAATGAAAAATTAATTTACTAATATTTAATTATGCACGAATATTTATTAATTTATTGAATAATATTTTTGTTTTATTCACATAAGGACAAGGACGCGGGACAAAAAAAGAAATCGTCGAAAGATGGGAATATAAAAAATTACACAATTTTAAAGGAGGAACCAATTCCGTCCGATGCAATGGAGGATGGAAAAATTCTGAAATTCGAGAGGAGAATTCCAACGACAAATTATACCACTGGTCCTATTACATTTGTTATAAATGGTCTTCGGCATTTCACAGTCTACAATATTGAAATTCAAGCCTGCCGTGAAATAACATCAAACGACAGATCAATAAATGATTATTGTTCAACAAAAAGTATGAAGACTTATCGAACAATGGCACTGGATTGCGCTGATGATATTCCAGCGGACAGTTTTAAAGTAACTTCAACGACAAACAAAGACAATGCAAGTCTTCCATCGCCCGAAGTCAAACTCGAATGGGACGAGCCACAAAAACCAAACGGTCTCATCGTCACCTATCAAATTGAATACAAAAATCGCGATATACAAAACGTACGTCAATTTTTTCTTTATTTACATTTTTATTCTTTAATTTTACAAAGCGAGAAATTCATTTTTTGAAACTCCAAAAAAGATTTTTTTAAGCCGAAAAAGTTTTTTTAAACCAATAGTATTTTTTTTATACAAGAAGAAAATTTCAAATTAATTAAAAGAGTTCTTTTGGAACTTTTTTGAACCAAAGGACTTCTTTTAGAACAAAATGATATTTTTATATATCATTTTGTAATATTTTTTTTCTATGGATTAAAAAAAATTCTTGAAATCAAAAGAGTTTTTTTTAAACCAACAGAATTTTTTTTATACAAAAGAAAAATTTTAAATTAATTAAAAGAGCTTTTTTGAAACAAAAAGAATTTGTTTAAACCAAAAGAATTCTTTCGGATCAAAAAAATTCTTTTCAACAGAAAGAATTCTTTTAATCCAAAAAGATTTGTTTAAACAGAAAGAATTCTTTTAATCCAAAAGGATTTTTTTAAACAGAAATAATTCTTTTAATTCAAAAAGAATTTTGAAAAATTGTTTTAAACACTAAGTATTTTTTTGAACTAAAGGAATTCTTTTAGAAGAAAATAATTTTTTGAACAGAAAGAATTCTTTTAATGCAGAAGAATTTCAGTATGTTAAAAGAATTTTTTCAAAGTAATAGAAGTTTTTTTATACAAAAATATTTTTCATAAACACAAAGAATTTTTAAATCCAGAGGAATTCTTTTAAACGAAAAGAATTTTTTTTTAAACCACAGGAATTCTCTTAATTTAAACAAAAAGAAGTTCTTTTAACAAAATTTTTTTTGAATAAACATTAAAATATTATTATACTTTTACCACGATTAAAACGTTAAAAAGACTTCAATTTAAAAACTTTTTAAAATTTAATTATTTCTTAAAATTCGTGTTATAATGCTTCTAATATTCAATTATTTTTCAAAATTTTAACTGAATTTCATTTTTAAATCAATTCTTATTAGAATTCAATGAGAACTGAATTTTTTAAATACAAATATTTTCATAAAATTTAATTATTTTCCAAACTTTTAGTTACAATTCTTCAAAAAATATAATATTTATAAATAGTTCTTTTAAAGTGAGAACATAAAATTTTTTGAAATATAAAATTTATTTTAATGAAATTTGAGAAAATTACCTATTTTTCCAATTTTTGGAAATTTATTTTCGGGAATTCAACTACTTTTAAAAAATTTTAATTACAATTTTTTAAAAATCTCATTTTTTCAGAATTTCTAAAATAAATTTTTCAAAATTCATTAATTTTTCTTCAAGAAATATTTGAATACTTATTTTTATTTATTTGTCCAACAGGAATAAGAATTTCAAAATACTTTCAATGTAAAACCTTTCGAAATTTAATTATTTAAAAAATTTTAACTAAAATTCATGGCAAAATTTCAATTATTTTCAAAAATTTCCCTCAAAATTTAATTAAAATTCTACGCAAACCTTCAATTAATTTCCTAAAATAATAAAAATTTCACAGGAATCCCAATTATTTACAAAATTTTTTATAAATTTTTTCGCAATTATTCAATTATTTTCATAAATAATAAAATTTTTACAGGGATTCAATTATTATCGTAAATAATAAAATTTCTTTTTGGAAATTCAATTATTTTCATAAATAATAAAAATGATTTCAGAATTTCAATTATTTTTAATACAATTTTAATCGAACTCCTCAAAGAATGTAATTATTCTTAAAAATTTTATTAAAATTGATTTAAAAATGGATTTCAGTTAAAATTTTATATTATAATTGAATATTAAAAGCATTAAATCGTGAATTTTTAGAAATAATTGAATTTTGAAAAGGTTTCAAATTAAAATCTTTGAAAATCTGAATTTTTCATATTTTTAACTAAAGTGTAATTAATTTTGTTGAAAAAGTTTAATTGCGGATTTTTTTTTAAATTATTTCAATTTTTTATTTTCTAATATATATTTAATCGAAGAATTTACGAATAATTGAAATTTTGGAAAATTGAATAGTATACAAATAAATTTGAAAATTCTCCAAGAACTTTTTCAAAAATTATTAAAAATAATGCATTTATAGAAGAATTTTAGTTAAAAACAAGAAAAAAATTTAATTTTGGAAAAAAATAATAAAATTCTTCTTAGGGATTCAATTATTTTCACAAATAATAAAACATGAGTAATTATTCTTAAAAATTGTTTTAAAATTCATCGAAAGAATTCAATTATTTGAAAATTTGTTGATTAAATTCTTTATCGGAATTGAATTTTAAGAAGCATTTAATTATTCAATAAATTATTTATTTGCTTTTTTCAAATTCTAGTAGAATTTTATAATAAAAATTGAATTAAAAATGAATTTCTGTTAAAATTTTACATAATAATTGAATATTAAAAGCAATATATCGTGAATTTTTAGAAATAATTGAATTTTTTTATATTATTTGGAGTTTTTATTTTCTAATATATATTTAATTGAAGAATTTACGAATAATTGGAATTTCGTAAAATAAAATATTGTAAACAAATGGATTTGAAAATTATCAAAGAGGTTTTTCGAAAATTATTAAAAATAATCGATTTAAAGAAGAATTTTAGTTAAAAATTCTTGAAAATAATAATTGAATTGATAATGATTTTATCACTCGGTCGTCTTTATATATTATAAAACACGAAGAAATCGATCGCTCCGAGTCGAAGACTCGGAGTTATCGATATCTTCATGTTTTATAGTTATGAAAAATTTAATTTGTTGTTTTAAGTAAAATGTTCTCTTTTTTGACTCGGACTGATTATATTTTTGTCATTGGTCCGTAAATTTTCATTTTTGGTTCGTAAAGTCCGTATTTTTAAATACTTTCACTGGTTCGAACTCTGCGATTATTATTTATATTATTAAATAATTTACCAGAAAAAAATTCCAATTTAAAAAGTTTCTATTTTTAAACATTAAATTTTTGTTCACAGATAAAACCAACGACAATTTGTTTAACGAGAAAAGACTTTATTCGAAATAAATTTTATACACTGAAGGATTTACCTGCCGGAAATTATACAATAAAAGCGCGTGCAGTGAGTTTAGCTGGCTATGGAAATTATACGCATGAGAAAATTGTCTATATTAATGAATACAATAGTTATGGGAAATTTTGGATAATATTTTGGATTATATTTATAATTGTTATAATGAGTCTATCAGGATGTTCGGTTTATGCGTGTAAGAGAAAAATGCGCAACGTTCCTAGTATGAGATTAATTGCAACTGTTAATCCTGAATACGTGAGCACTGTTTACATTCCTGATGAATGGGAAATTGCACGTGAGAAAGTTGAATTACACGTAAATAAACCAATTGGTAATGGATCATTTGGAATGGTACACGAAGGAATAGCATTTGATGTTGTTAAAGGAAAGCATGAGGTTCGCTGTGCTATTAAGACTGTCAATGATAAAGCAACCGATCGAGAGCGCATTGAATTCCTTAATGAAGCCTCAGTAATGAAGTAAGTTTTATTTTTTTCTTAATTTAGAGAGAAAAGAATTGACTCTTGATTTTCAATCAATCTTGAGGAGAAGACTTTCTGTTCTTCTTAATTTAATCGCATTTATTTTTATTTGCAACTTTTTGGAAATTTACAAATTTATTCTCAAGCTTTTTAATTAAAATGTTTTTATTTTATGTTTTTTTATCATCTGGTTTTATTTTTATTTTTCATCAGGACAATTTGAAAAAATTTATAAAAATTTACCTATACATTTTTTTAAAATTTTAAATCGTTGATAATATTAAAATATTATTTTTTTATTTCAAATAACTAAACTTAATTCGAGAAGAATTATCATAAATTTATTACTAATAAATTATTTAATGAGTAATTTTACTTAAATATTTCAAAATTAATTGAATTTTTAAAAAGTTGCGTTTACTATATTTATAAATAGTTATTAAATAGTTATTAAAAATAATCGATTTATAGCTAAGAATTTTAGTTAAAAACACTAAAAAAAATGGAATTTTGGAGAAATTACAAATGATTGCAGAAATTCAATTATTTTCAAAAATTTTAATATAATTCTTGGCAAAATTTCAAATATTTTAAAAAATTTGCTTTAATTCAATGATTTTCAATATCTAATTTTAATAAAATTTTCCAAAAGAATTCAATTATTTAAAATAAAATTTGATAAAATTCTGCGAAAACATTTAGTTATTTTTGAAAATAATAAAACATTCACAGGAATTCAATTAATAAATTTTTTTTATAAATTTCTTTGCAAAGAATTTAATTATTTTCATAAATAATAAAATATTTTACAGAGATTCAATTATTTTTACAAATAATAAAATACTTTTAAGGAATTCAATTATTTTCAATTTTTCATAAATAATAAAACTCATCGCAGAATTTCAATTATTTCTCGAAAAATGTAATTATTCTTAAAAATTTTATTAAAATTCATCGAAAAAATTCAATTATCTTGATAAATATCAAAATTCTCTCCAGAAATTCAATTATTTTCAGGAAATTTAATAAAATTCTTCGCAAGAATTCAATTATTTTCATAAATAATAAAATATTTTACAGAAATTCAATTATTTTCACAATTAATAAAATTTTTATAAGGAATTCAATTATTTTCAATTTTTTATAAATAATAAAACTCATCGCAGAATTTTAATTATTTTTCCAAAAATGTAATTGATTATTCTTAAAAATTTTATTAAAATTCATAAAAAAAATTCAATTATCTTGATAAATATCAAAATTCTTTCCAGAAATTCAATTATTTTTAGGAAATTTAATAAAATTCTTTGTAATAATTCAATAATTTTTATAACTATAGAATAACATTTTCTTTAGAAATTTTTCGAAAAATGTAATTATTTTTAAAAATTTTATTAAAATTCGTCGAAAGAATTGAATTATTTAAAAATTTGTTGATAAAATTCTTGATGAGAATTCAATTTTAAGAAACATTCAATTATTTCAAAAAATATTTATTTTTCTAATTAAATAATCGAATTCTCAGAGAATTTTCTAATAAAAATTGATTTCACTTAAAATTTTAGATAATAATTGAATAGAAAAAGAATTCTAAGCGTGGATTTTTAGAAATAATTTTGAAAAGTTTTTAAATTAAAATCTTTGAAAATTTGAATTTTTCATATTTTTAATTAACAATTCTGTAGAATTAATGTTTTTGTTTAATCTAATTTTTTTTTTTTGAAATTATTTGAAGTTTTTTTATTCTAATATACAATTGAAGAATTTTCGAATAGTCGATGAAATTTCGTAAAATTGAATTGTAAACAAATGAATTTGAAAATTCTCAAAGAACTTTTTGAAAAATTATTAAAAATAATTCATTTAAAGAAGAAATTTAGTTAAAAATTCTAGAAAGTAATAATTGAATTGAAATGGTTAAGTAATTTTGAAGAAGTTACAGTAACAATAATCTTGTAATATAAAATATTGATTTTATTACTCGATTATCTTCATGTTTTATAATTATTTTTTTTATAGGTTATTGAATTTCAAAAGGTTTGAATTTAAAATTTTTGAAAATCTTTAATTCCAAGGAAAAATAATAGAGTACATTTTTTTAATTACAATTTTTTCCTTTATTTTCTAAAAATTGAAAAATTTTCAATTTATATAATTTTGTATAATTATTATTTTGATAATATTATTCTACATATTAATGTGCAAAAAATTCGTTTCCGCAGAGCCTTTAATACTCATCACGTTGTGAAATTATTGGGAGTCGTTTCGCGCGGTCTACCAACGTGGGTCGTTATGGAGCTAATGGTTAATGGCGATTTAAAGGAATATTTGAGAAATCATCGACCCGATGCGTGTGAAGATCCAACCGTAAAGCCACCGACATTGAAGAGAATTTTACGAATGGCAGTGGAAATTGCCGATGGAATGGCATATCTTTCAGCTAAAAAATTTGTTCATCGCGATTTAGCGGCGCGCAATTGTATGGTTGCTGAAGATTTAACAGTGAAAATTGGCGATTTTGGAATGACACGTGATATTTATGAGACCGATTATTATCGTAAGGGTACAAAGGGTCTTTTACCAGTCAGATGGATGGCGCCCGAGAGTTTAAAGGATGGTGTTTTTACCAGTTTCTCGGACGTTTGGAGTTATGGTGTTGTTCTATGGGAAATGGTTACACTCGCTTTACAACCCTATCAAGGTTTATCCAACGATCAGGTATTTTAATTGTTCCAAAAAAAGTACAGTATTTATTTCAATGCGAGACAATTTTCTTTTTCTTTGTCATAATTTATTATAATTACTGCAGATTTATTATAATTATTAGTGTAATTGTAGTTATTACAATTTTTATTGTTATTATACTTATTACAATTTTTATTGTAACTGTAATTATTACAATTTTTATTGCAATTATCATAATAATTATAATTATCGTAATTATACCCGTGCGAAACGTGATATACGATTTATTATTATTATGCAAATTACAAAATTTTTGTTTTCAAATCTTAATTTTAATTTTTGAGTAATATCAGATTTTAAATTTTTTACAAACATTTTATTAAAATTCTTCGAAACAATTGAATCATTTTTTTTAAAAATTTTAATAAAATTCTTTGGAAAATTCAATTATTTTTAAAACTTTGATCAAATTCTAGAAGCAATTCAATTATTTCAAGACTTGAATTAAAAAAATTAAAAATATTCGAATCTGTTAGAGAAATTTTATTAAAATTGTTATAAGTATAATTGCATTTTTTCCTAGAAATTTTATCAAAATTGTGTTGAAAATAATTGAATTTCTCAGAAGAATTTTATTATTTATAAAAATATTTTAATTCTTGCGAAGAATTTTCTTATTTATAAAAATAATTGAATTGTTTCGAAGAATTTTATCTGAATTTTTGAAAATATTTGATTTTTTTGAAGGAATTTTGTTAAAAATTTTGAAAATAATGATTTTTTTAAAAGAATTTTATCAAAATTGTTTAAAATAATTGAATTTATATTAAAATTCTTGACAATATAACATTTTTTAGTTTAGAAAATTGCTAGTTTTTAATAAATTTCAATAATCAAATATTTAATTATCGTTATTACCAAATACGATTATTTTTATAAATTTGAAACAAATTATTCGTAAAAACCAATTACATTCAAAATTTTCAATTAAAATAGTTAGAAAAACGACATTATTAAAAAAAAATTAAAAAAGTTCTTTATGAGAATTTAATTATTTACGAAAACTCCAATAAAATTGTTCAAAAGAATTGAAAACAAAATCGATTATTTTCAAATAATTGAAGAAATTCTTCGTGAGGATTCAAATATTGTTAATAATTTTATAAAATTTTTTTAATATATTCAATAATTTTCAAAAATTTTAATAAAATTTAATAATTATTAACAAATATGATTATTTTCAAAACTTGAAAGAAATTCTTCAAAAAGATTCAATGAAATTCAAATTTCAAAGTCAACAAATTTGGGAAATGTAGAAATTAATTTCTATTTTAAAATAAAATTCTTTGGAAAAAATTTAATTTTAGATAATTAAAATCAACTGGAGGTCAATTTCTAATTTTTTTATTTTAATTAAATAATGTTGAAGATTTTTTTAAATTAATTTTTTAATTTTTTTAAAAATATTTAAATGCAAAAAAATAAATTTTGATTTATTTTACAGACTTTGCGTTATGTAATTGATGGTGGAGTAATGGAGAAGCCGGAAAATTGTCCGAAATTCCTTTATCAATTAATGAGAAGAACTTGGTGCTACAAATCGAATGGCAGGCCCACATTTATTGATATTGTCAAAGTTTTTTTATACTTTACGGACGAGGATTTTCATGACGTTAGCTTTTTTCATTCACCAGAAGGAGCTGATGCTGTGGCTCACAACGCTTCCGTCTCCTCATACACCGAAGAGTAAGTCTTGTCATTATTTTCTTAAATTTTTTTAATTTTATTTCATTTTTTTTATTTTTCCTACTAGAATTTTTTTTCATATTTTCTATTATTGGCTATTATACACATAAAATTGCAGCCAATATTTTTTTCTATTAAACGAATAAAGTTGACATTTTCTAAAAACATATTTTAGCAGAAAATGTTGCATTGTTTGTGTAAAAAAAAATAAAATAAGAGTAAAATTGTAAATTTAATTGATTGTAATTTCAAAGTAAAAGTATATTTAAACAAAAAAAGGAAAAGTGAAAGAAATGAAAAACATTTTTACAGAGACATCAAAGAGATACTCAAAGAGATATTAGAGGGGGAGGAAATAATTGATGGCGAGGATTCACCTCTACGTCAAGATTTTGGGGATTTTGGTGATTTTGCTGATTTTATGCCACTCAGTTTGAAGAGAAATTCATCGCCAAGATATGCATTGGATCTTTATAGTAATGGTTCGAAATTTTCAAATTTTCACGATTATAATACATCGAAAGTGCCGCAAAAAGCTGGTTTCGATGATTTCGATGGGGTTTCCGTTGAATCTAATGAAATATCAAGTAAAGATACATTAAATTTACCATTCGCTGAAGATAGTGTGAAATCAGTTAAAAATTCACCGTACGCACAAAATAAAAGTTTATCGCGCGACAGTATGAGCGGTGAATCGTCATTGGCAAAGTCTGTGAGTCCACAAAATTCAGCTCAAAAATCATTTATCGATAGTCCAAGTCCATCGAAAACATCGCGCGCCGATCCCGATTATGAAAATCGTAGTCCCGAAATTATTCAATTAAATACAAAAATTGATAAAGGACCATTGCGCATGAATTTTTCGTCATTAAATACAATTGATATTGAGACAAATGATAATAATGATAAGGAGAAAAAGCGTCAATCGGATTATAGAAATCGTAACGAAACACTAAATAACGGTTATATTGGTAACGCGACCACGTAGTTTATTTTTTTCTCACAAAATTGCCCACAGTCACAGGGCAATTTTTATATACGAAAAAACTGAAATCCCTCCTTAAAATACTTTTCCGTGTATAGGGGATAAATTCTTTCATTGTTTTCCTTTTTTTTTACATAAAACAGAGAATGAAAGTTTTTTTTAAAGATATAACACTATAATCTTAAAAAAAATCTCTAAGGTAAATTTTACACTTTTAGACTGTAATTGTAAAAGCGATAATCGAATATTTCGATTTATTATAAAAAAAGATTCGATATTCCTTATTCCTTAAACGGGTGTAGAAAAAAATGCGTCTGAATTCCGTCTCCCCTGATTGTAGAGATAAAAAAACAGAAAACTTTTTGCTGCGTATGTACAGATTCTTTTTTATCTCGCGATGCGTGTCCACAAAAAAAAATTGCGAGTAAATTATAATCGCGAAAAAAAACTCGTACCAAATAGAATTTTTTTATTATCACAAAAAAGTGGACAGTATTATAAAATGCATGTCGTGGCAAACCATCTTGACCTATCTAGTATTTAAGTCAATATCAAAGATTGAACTTGATTAATTGTAATATAAAAAAGTAAAGAAATATTAACTGAAAATACATCTCCGGCTTCCCAAGACGCGATACTCGTCGCTCGAATTGTTCATATGAAAATGAGAAAAAAAATGAATGAATGAATGAATAACAAAAAAAGAAAAACAAGCGTTTATAAATTCAAAAAATGGTGATTATTTCAATTGACAATCCATCTGTTTGAAAGTTTTAACTGAAATGTCGTCAACGATCGAAGAATTAAAGAAAAATTCGTTAACATTTTTTTTTTTACTTTGCGAAAGACAAAAATTAATTAAAATTACTCATTTGTTGATATTTTATTGAATCGAGTAATCAGCTGATCAATCGAGTAATTTATTATTTAAATATTATTTAGTATTTAAATAATAATTAGTAGCAAATTAATATTCAGTGTTAATTTAGTATTAAATATTAATTTTTAATATTTAGTAGTAAATTAATATTTAATTAATTTAATTAATACATATTCATTTAATATTCAAATATTTAAATATTAAATATTAATATATAATAATGATTTTATCACTACGTCGTCAAAAATAATAAAACGATGAAATATTAATATTTAAATAATATTTAAGTAGTATCAAATTAATATTTAGTATTAATTTAATATTCAGTATTAAATTAATATTTTAATATTCATTTAATACTTGATATTCATTAATATTTAATTAATTAAATTTCGCAAATTTGGTTAATTAAATAATTATAGGTATATTTGATTGTTCACTGATTTTATTGATTACGAATTATTAATTACTAATTAGAAAATTATCAATCTAAATTAATAATTAAAATTTAATCCATTGAGTAAATAAAATGATTGATGATGATGAAAGAAAAAGAAACGTTAAAATTACGGGCAAAATTTGTAAATTAATTAATTAATTGGTTAATTAATTACCATTTTATCAAAACTCACGTAATCGAATAATGCGAGCATACAATTTAATTAGTCTGAAATTTTACTATTTGGAATAATTTCCATTTATCCGTATTTTGATATAAGAACTAGAATTTTTTTAAAACAATTTACAATTAAATATTTATTTCTTATTAAATATTTAAAGGATAATTTTTAAAATTTTCTTGTTAACTTTTGATTTGTGTAATAGATGAAAAATTGTTGAGTAAAATTTGAAAAATTGTATATGAGAAACATATACACGAATAATAATAATTGTTAAATAATTATTTAATTGAATCATTAATAATTTAATTATAATATTATTAAATGACAATTTAATTTAATAATTATCAAATCATTTTTGACATAATAATTAAATTGTTATATTGTTATATTGTATTATTGTATTATTGTATTATTGTTGTAATTAAATATATTAATAATGTTATTTAATTTAATAATTATTGAATAGTAATTTAATTGTAATAATTATTGAATGATAATTTAATTAAAATATTTAATAATAATTTAATAAAATCAATTATTCGAATACGCGAATTTCGAATTTTCGATTAATGTCTCAATTAATAAATTAACCAATTGAATTAATTAATATTAATCTTATAAATACCCGGAGATGGTTCAGAATAATAATTAATAATTCTAGTTGAGAATTTTTTTGTTCGAATTCGACACATTAATTTTAACTATATATTATTTTTTTCTTTTCCTTCTCTCAAAAATAAAAGAAATAATAATTGTATAATATAAAATAATGTTCTTCCTTAATGCACGTCTATCGTAATTATTATCCTTTTTTTTATATTAAAAAAAAAAGAAAAGAAAAAGAAAATATTTTAGTAAACTGTTTCTGAACCATCTTTGTACAGAAATTTATATCCTCGCATGCGATTGAGTTTGAGAAGTATGGTGCTTTTTGAAAAATTGGCGTGTTTTTAATATTTTGTTTTTTCTTTTTATTGAAAATCTTTTGTTTAAGAAAAGAAAAAGAATTAGTAGTCGTCCGAGAGTTTCAAGTCGGCAATAACTATAACGAGAGATGTTTTTACCACCAAATGTGTTTAAAGAGCACCTTGCTTTATTTAGCTTCTTCAATAAACTTAGAAACTATTTATCAGCCACAAGCCCTCAACATTTGTCATTCAACAATTGCTTTTGCCTTAATCGAAATTTTTATATTCAAATTCCATGAAAATTGGTCTATTTTCATTTTTTTTTTATTCAAAGTTAATTCTTTTTTTGTAAACATTTTATTAATTTTCAGTTTTTGAAAATTTTCCTCTCAAGAAACTTTCTATTTTTTGAATATATTTCGAGTATTTAAATAATTTCCTATTATGTATTTTTTTCGAGAAAAATTAAAATTTTTCTGTTGTTTTCCTGTTTTTTTAATATTCAACTTTATTTTTTAATTTCTATTAAATAAAGTTTATAATTTTTTTCGAAAGTAATTTTTTTTAAAATGTAATTTTTTTAAAATGAAAAATAGTAAAAAAAGATTTGAAAAAAGAACTATTGGAAGGAAAAGATAAAGAATGAAAATATAAAATTGGAAGCAAATGAAAATTTTGTCAGTTTTCGAAATTTAGAAAATAAAAATATGATTCAGAATGATGGGGGCTTATTGTAAAATCAAACTATGTAAAATATCTGTCTGTGTATATCCATAAACTGTTTCTTGGAGCCAATGGTACAAACCGAATAATTCACCGCGTAAATAAATGATTCGCTTGCAAAAAAATCCGATTCGTAATCTCGAGAAAACGATTTTTTTTCTACTAAATATTATATACTGTGTATATTAACCACTATATTATCAATATTGTAATACATAAAAAAATGCGGCGAAAAAGAGAGAGAAAAAAAATATAAATAAATTATAACTTGGTGCTAAAAACGTAGCGACGATCGGATTTTGTCCCTCAAGCTCCAGGAAGTCAGTGTCAAAGTTCAGAGGCATATTATGCTTTCATGTAGAGGAGAGAACGTAGACTGTCTTAGCCCAGTGAGAGCCAAGATTGATGACGGATGAAAAGGTCGATCCCCCCACCCCCCTTGAAAGCTGTTTTTAAAGTAAAAAAAATAAAACGAAAAAAAATTACAAAAAAAAGAGAGAGAAAAACCTAAGAATTTTTCAAACGAATTTCAAGCGACGAAAGAAAAAAAAAATATGCGAGCAACGCAAATTCAGTTGAAACTAGACATAATGAGCCTCAAATACAAGACTGATTAGCTAATCCTCTGTATAAACTCGTAATCTCCCACTAAGTTAAAAGTTATTTAAAAAAAAAAACAACAACAATATGAGTAGAAGTTCCAATATTTTATTCTACAATGGCTATTCTTTTTTTTGTTTACAATTTTCTGCTAAATAACCGCTTAAAGTATAATTAGTTAAGTAATATAATTGTTAAGGACCGAAATACCAGTGACCTAAATACAGAGAAACCTATTTTATTTGCAATGCTTTACATTAGATGACCTCGTACCTATGTTTTTATATAAAAATAGAAAATAAAGAAAAAAATAAATCAGCGAAAGTCGTACAGATTTGTATATTAAAAAATAAGTTTGTTAATAGTTAACAAAAAAAATAGAAAATAATGTCATATACATAGTCGTTTTTTTTTTAATCTTGTCAAAAATTTATCATTTTTTTTAAAAGAAGGAAAGAAAGAAGAAAATGTAAATAAAGATAAATAAAAATAATTTTACACACTAGAGTGAAAATGTGGACGAAAAAATTTTTTAATTGGAAAAATTTGGCGAAAAAGAAGGAAAAATAGAAAGAAAGAGAAAAATTTAATAATTTCAATATTAAAGTTTTTCGAATTTCAATTTGCATTTATTTGCTTATAAAATTAGAGCAAAGAAATGAGAAAAACAGCGAAGTCTATTCTCTCCCTTCTCTATAAATTCCCCCCCAAAAAATAGAAATTTCTTTTATTTCAGAAGAAGAAATTTTTTATCACTTGAAAGAAAAAAAAATACAGAACCGAATCTAGATCATAAAAATAGAATTCTTATTAATTATTATCTATTAATAATTAATAATTATTAATGTATTTTAAATTAAATTAAATTAAAATATGTATTTTAAAATTTGTTAACAATTATATGAGTACAATATTTGAGTATCTAATTTTTTTGTTTACAATACAATAATTTTTACGAGCGATATTTGTCAGTTATGAATTAAAAATGTTAAATGTTTGACAAGTAAGAGAAATAAAGTGTAAAACTAATTTTTTTCGTTTACAATTCGTTCAAAAATTGATTACTAATTTAATTAATTAAATTAATTGAATAACTTTAGATTCGAATTAATTCAATAATTTTTTAACAAAGAAATAAAATTAATAAAATTAATTTCTATAATAGTAATTAATTAACTGTTGAATAGTTTTTAAATTAGTATTTTTTTTTAATTTTCTATTCTTGATTTTTAATTTAATAAAGAAAAATTAATTTTTATTGGCGATATACTAAAAAGGCTTCCGTCTTAATTTTTCTTTCCGTTTTTAAAATGTTTTAAATGATTAGAAAAAGATTTTAATAATAAATATGTTTGAGAAAATACCTAAAAATTACCGAAGTCTTAAAAATTGTGCTTTTAAGGAAAAAACAATTTAAAAAAAATTTTTTTTTTTTAATTTTACTTATCAAATAACTGTATTATTTTCTCAATACCGATTTCTGATTGTATCGGAATTATAAAAGTATAAATGATCCTTTTCTTCCGTCTCTTCGAGCAATGGTGATATACAATAATTTTTTTTTAGTTTTTTCCATTTAATAAACAGAAAAATAGAAGAAAAAATTAATTTACACTATAAATAAGCTTGAAGCATAAATACACACTGACAGATTTCTAGTGTTAAAAAATTAAATACCAGCAGTATATCATATATACAATAGAAAAAAAGCTCTTTTTTTATTTTCAAGTATTAAAAAAAAGTGAATTTAGATTTTTATTTTTATAAATCTTTGCAGTTCGATTGTTTTAATTAAAAATTAATAATTTTCTTATTATCCAATTTTTGAATTTTTGTCTATTTATTAAGTAAGTAAACTTTTTCTAAAAATCAAATTCTTAATAGTTTATAATTTTTCTTTTCGAAAAATAAATTCAAAATTTTTTTCTAAAAAACTAGTTCTTATTTAGTGACATAATCTTTTCTTTTGGGAAAAATAAATTTAAAAAACTTTCGAATGTTGTTAATTTTTAATTTCTGAATTGCAAAGATTAAAAAAATGAATTTCTCGATTCATTCTTTCACTGAGACGATTAACGCTTAGTTTATAAATAAAACACGAATGATAAATATAAATAGTTAAATAAATAAATAAAAACTGTATATATTATATAATGTAATATTATAATAAAAATATTATAATTTATATATTATACCACATAGGTCATTATAATTATAATTTATAATTACAAAATATAATATTATATAATATATTAT